CCAAAATGTTTAGGAAAGCCCAGTGTTTTCAAATCCACTTCTGTTTTTTTTTAATTTTTATTTATTTATTTATTTATTTTTTTGACAGGTTCTGTTTTAAATCAAGGAGAGACGATTTTCTAGCTTGACCCCGGTTACGTCATGCATTTTCTCTTGTAAAATACGTCCAATAGCAAAAATTCAACTCAAAAAGTATACGGTGGTTTTTTTCAAAAGAATTCATTCTAAACCATATAATACAGTCCGTGAATAGTTGAATTAACTGGATCCACTTCTGTTTTTTGCCTAGATAGTCATTATTTTGAGAAAAGATCCAAAAACCGTGTTTTTGAGACATAATTTGTATGGGCTCACATGAGGGGGCGTGAGCTTGAATTCTTAGCTGACCAAATGTTAGCAGATGTTTTTCTGATAAAGAATAAAACTAGCCCCGCCCCTTGCGTGGTGGGAGAGTAGTAAGGTCCTTTTGTTCACACAAGTCTTTGTATTCCATGTAGTATATTTCGATTAAATTCTTATTAGTCTTTATTATGGAGGAAATTACCTCATTTTCTCAGTATAAGTAGCTCTTGTAATAATGACAACAGCGCTAACAAAACCGTCAAAAACAAAGCATTAGTTCAAAGCGTTTGTTCAAAGCGTTTGGGTTGACGAGAATGGCGGATTGTAAGTGGAAAAAAMAAMAAAACAAAAAAACATTTCAGTACATGATCTATAACAAGAGTATATTAAAGAGCATATCTCGCATACATGGGTCTGTAACCATGAAAGTTTTTTGAAAATCTATTTTTAGCTCTGCGCACAAAGCCTGAGCTATTTTTAGCATGCAATTCCTGTTTGTTCAGGGTTGTAGTGATTTCAATGTGAGAGGAAAATATTTTTCGACGAGAAAAAATTGTCTTCAAAACCAGTAAGACAAAGTTGAAATTAAACTATCATGTATCAGACGAATTAAATATTATTAAACTTAACAATTGATGTAAAAGAACATCGAAAAAGATCAAATCAGGATGGTTTTCAGTATACAAGCTAAACAGCGAAAACGCCAGGGAAGAAAACAGCGATAAAAATTGCGATGAAAATAGCAAAGAACCTACAATGAAGATAGCGAAAAAGCATTTATAGTAGAGTTTTTCGATAGCAAATAGAGTTTAAGTTCAAGTGGTTAAGAAGATGATGAACAAGACGAGTATTTTGTTTCGCAAATGAATCAGAACAAACCATTTGCACAAACGATTTACTTAGCGTTCAATTGAGTACTCATACTTTGAAATATGTTAAGATCTTCGCGCATAGTTTGTTACGGCACAGCTTTTGAAGGTGACTTGAGTAAAGTCATACGAAAGAAGTACAAGCCCATTTATTTATTCACAGAAGAGAGACTATCTAATTGAGTTCGTGTAAAGTATTACAAGTAGCAGAAGAAGGAGGAAACAAAAAGCGACCAGAATCTTTGTGTTCGATTGGGAAAGTATCACTCCCCCACTTCCCTACGTGACACTTCTTTCAAGAAAAATGCTCTATAAATTCTACTTAGACAATTAGTTCACCTGTTTTTTCGACACTTCTAGAATTCAGATATGGAAATCTGTATGTCCTCATTGTAGGTTTTTTCCCTATCAACTCTTACTTAGTTATTATTTTGCTTTTTTTTTTTTTTATTGCTAGCCTCGTTGGGACTACGAGTCCGTTCGCTCTGCCCCTCATAGTATAGTGCACTTCTATACTGAGTACCGACTTTCAAATAACCTGTGCACACGTTTCGTATCTCCTCCACCCTGTGGGGTGGTACGATGAACGAACGAACCAATCAAAAAAGAGAATCTGAATGAATCCCATCCAATCAAACATTTAGTAGAGAGATGAGAGCGCTCAAAGTAATATAACACAAGAAATAGAAAACTTTTCGTATTTTCAGAATGGAATAAAATTGGTATGAATTTCTAGACCATATTTCAGTGGAATTAACACCACGTGAAGTGTTTTAAGGTGGTCCAGGATTTGACGGTGTTGCGCAATAATGAAAATAAGTGCCAATCATGATGAATAAGGTGTCGTGTGTTTTTCTCCAGGAGGCGTACCCTGTTGTCTTCAAGAAAGTCTTCTTGATATTCCCTCCTTTCTGGTTCGCCTCCAGAATTAATTAGACCCCTCGAACTAGTGCTTGTTTTTGACTAGAACGTCTACTTGTCTCAGCAAATGTCCGGAAAGAACGATTACCATTCACGTGCATTCCCAACAGCCTTGTCGGTACTCTTGCTGTCGACAATCATCTGACTTGGATCTGTCAGTGTATGGCTGTTCATTCAGCACGCATCGTGAGTGGAAAGCACAATTTATCCGAAAATTAGTCAAACGAAGACCAAGATATTCAAGACAACTAGGCCGGTCTGAAAGAAACATCTTAGATTTCTAAGGGATAAAACTAGTGGATATTTTGTAGATATTATCGTAAAAATGATTGAAATGGTGTAGGAAATAGACGATGATTGTTAATATATGTAAGTAATTGATTTCATTTATCATGTATTATTTTTAGTGTAAATATATAATAATAGGGTTCTAGTTGAAATGAATTCGAATATATTGTATCGAGTTTCTCGCCGTGGGGGATCGCCGTGCTAATAAACGATTTATAGCACAAAGAATCGTCAAATTTTAAGTATATCACGTATTCTTGTCCGTTTTCTTTACTTATCAAGGAAAACGCTGTCGGGCCAATAATTCTTTGGAACAGTTGTTGATTTGGTTTTGATTGCACATAATATTCAGACAAACCTTTAAAAATATACCTAAATAAGTCTTCAAGAACGAGATGGGTATGCGCACGCAAGGTCCGGAACTACCTTTATAACATCGGCATTTGAAAAACATTCAAAACCACAGCCCAGTGATAGCCCAACTGTAGAGGTAAATTTCCAGAATCATATGCATAAAAAACGCTAACATAAACAAATCAGTTAAAATTGTGAATTGTGGCGAAAAACCGCCAGCTGCTTGAAAGACCATCGATTATGGACACTAATATTACTGCATGTGTTTTACTCAACTAATTTAATGTAACCTTAAGTTATCTTAGCCAATCACAAACGAGGCAATTCTTCTGCGATCATCACTTAATTGGTTCATTATTTCAACTTTCACGACGTTTATTTGTGAATACAAAAGACTCAGAAGCAAAAAATTTATTGATATTAGTTTGGCGGCCACGAAATGAATCGCACTGAGTTGGTATCTGAGAAGAAATGTTTTGGACTGTTTCTTGGACTCGATGATCAAGACACAACAGAACAAGTCATCAATATTATATTAGCTGTCCTCAACTTCCCCACTTCACTCTTTGCTGTCGTTGAAAACTTCATCTTGATTCTGGCCATCTGGAAGAATGCTCATCTGCATAAGCCTTCGTTCGCCTTGCTTGGTTGTCTTGCCTTTTCCGATCTTCTTACTGGGCTCGTTTCTCAACCATGTCTTGTTGCTTATGGCATAGCTAAGCATTACAAGAACTGGACAGCAACATGCAATGCCACTATCTTAATTATTTTATCAATCGTTGTTTTATCAGGAGTTTCTGTTTCGACTCTGACAGTCATAAGCATAGATCGATTCCTTGCTTTACATTATCACCTACGTTACGGAGAAATTGTTACAGTACCGCGCGTTCTGGTGTTGTTTGCAGGATTCTGGCCAGTATTCTTGATTGTCTTGATTCCTCGAATTCTTAACGAGCTAATTATTTTTACCATCTTGCTTAGTACAGGATGCACGATATCTTTGATTATAATCCTAGTTTGCTACTGGAAGATCTACAAAATTACTGAAAAACATCGATCTCAGATCCAAGATCTCGAGAGAGCAATGCAACACGCCAACAGACTGACAAATGAACAGATAAAAACAGGGAAAAAATCTTCTTTTTCATTTTTCATTGTGACAGTAATCTACCTTGGGTTTTCGATTCCTTACTTGATATTTTGCATCTTATTCATAGTTATAGGCTTTCATGGTTTTGTCGTCCAGCTCGGGGAATTATCCTTTACTATAATTACGATCACTGCCTCTATCAACCCCGTTGTCTACTGCTGGCGCTTACAAGAACTTCGMGATGCAGTAAAACKTCAGGTAAAATTGATTTTCAAGTGGAATAGTTCTGAAAGTCTTTCGAGGTAGGGCTAAGTTAAAAAGTAAAAAAAAACAACTTTATTTGATGCTGCTAAGACAGAGCGGAAAAACCGGACGCATGCGCATTAGAGACTATTTTCATGAGCAATCCAATATGGCGGACGA